GTTTGGCGGGGAGGGGGGTGCTTTGCGGAACCTGGCCTTGGGGCGGGAGGGAGACTAAATTCGACTAAATGCCTGATTCATCACTGTGGTAAATGGCTGAAGATCACCACTGCTCCTTTCATACAAGTGATCAGATCCGATAACTTGTATAAAAATGAGTGGCGGCTCCCACAGTACATTTAGCTCTGCTTGTCTGGAGCAGGGCTAAATGTACAAAAAAACTACTCGCTCGGCGCCCGAAACTGCATGTCCCGGGCATCGGGTGATAGGAATTCCATACCCCTGCTTAGGATGGTTCCACACTATGTAGAAGCAACAGAGCTGCTCTTGGAAAGCAGCATTGTCAACCTGTGGAGAAGGTACCAGCAGATTTAGATGGACTTAACTAACAAATTAAATATTAACTTCTAACAATTTTTAAGCAGTAACAGCAACAGTTATTCTGTAATGCAGGGATGAGACCCTGGAGCGGGGCAGCTGCTTCATGGAACAGACCTGGCAAGCAGTATAAGAGCAGAGAAAATAAAAATGTTAAGTCAGCTGTCACAACTGTGGAATGAGAGAAAAAACGCAATACACAAGGTTTAAAACCATATGATTTGACAGGACATTAGCGCACTGGATATGAGCTTTTGTGAACACATGGAAATTATATTATATACATGGCTTATTGGGCAGTAGCGGTTTGTAGGCATTGACGCAATGCATGCGCAAGCCATTATTAGTTTAATTTGGAACAGTCTCACCTACTATTTTTTTGCAGCCCTGTTACCTAACTCCCACAGTATGTTACTTTTTATCTGATGCTTCTGTGTGCAGCAAAAAAAATACATATTTTGGCAGTTCACTTCTATCCTGACCATGCTCTACAAAGGAGACAAGACTTTTGAATTACAGCTCTTATCTCACCATTTGCTCTCCAGACACAAGCAAGGTCACAGGAATGCAGAGAGAAAGAGCACACTCTCTCAGGAATAAGAAGAGCACTAGAACTGGAAGGAGAGCCTTGATTAGTGTTGGGAGAGTGCAGAGATAGCGAGATGAGAGCTGTCAATCAAGAGGCCGTCTCCTTTGCAGAGCGTGGTAGCGAAGGACTAGATATTTTGCACAATGTAATAATATAGTTAAATGTTGTTTGCTCTTTAATACATTAATGATAATTAGTACACCAGACAGGGTTGTGGTTTTTAATAGTTAAAAAAAATACATTAAAACATTTAAACAATGAAAACTTGGCTGTATTATACTGTTAATGTTATTTAAATATCTAATTGCAAAGTACATAACAGAAGGGTATGATTTAGCAAATGTCAGTGGTTTTCCTTTAGTTGAAAATGTGTTAATACATTACAGATCAACCATGATCTGCACTGGCAAACCACCTATTATTAGACTGATTACCCTGATGTTGAGAACATATTTGTGACTTTTGAAAGATCTAATGTTTGCATGTACAAATATGTTGAAAAATGTAATTTCCACAGGATGTACTTAATTTTTCACATGACTGTATATACGATTCATGTACCCTAAAAATTATGGCAAAATTCTAAATGTATTCCATAAATAAGCATAAAAAGTACATGAAGGGCACAGCTGTTCTGTAATAATTTTTCTCGTGGGCCATTGTAATGTGTTTATATTTGTTTTTTGATTCTTTACACTGTTGATGATTTTTTTTTTTTTTTTTAAAGAATGATGGTATTTTTTATTTTACAGGATGTGGTTAAATTACCTTTAGAATTTCTGAAACATCTGTGTTTAAAGGTCCAGTCAGAGAGACCAGGTAGGCATATATTTATGGCCAGTTATGGTTTGCCTATGTTTACACTGTATGTAAAATTAATGATTCATGTGGTGGTAGGAGGTTGTACCAGTTTACCTATCCATGGCTAATGTTTTTTTTACATTTATCCAGACAAAAAAAATTGTAGCGTTTCAGGCCACGTTGTTGTTGTTGTTTCTTTTTAAATTACCTTTTACTGCTTGTAATCTGGTGTTATTGGCATGTTAAGCCCTGAGCATAAAGCCTTAAAAGAACCCAGCTTGCTTTCTTTTTCACTTTTGGTCCTGCCTAAACTGATATTTCACCCAACTCTACTAACTCCCTGCCGCACTAATACTAGATAAGGAGCTCTCAACAACATTCACTTCACTATAACATTATTTACAATTTTTAGAACCTCAGTTGTATCCTGGATTTTGTAGTTGCCCTTTTTTTATGGCTTCTCTGCCACTAAAAAAAAACTTTACAGGATTGTATTCCCTGCATAGAAGATACTAAATACGAATTCCTTCTGCTGCCTGGATTGCCCATCTCAACGGTAGTTAGGAGAAATCTGACACTTCCTGAAGATTTCCTGATCCCTCACTGTCTGCTTTGGTTACTTCCACTTGCCCCCACCACTGCAGGGCACAGTAGTGGTGTATGGCCTGGACGTGTCATGTTCTGCAGGGCCTTTAGCTGGTGGATTTTCTTTTCTCTTTCTACTATTGTGAAGGTCAACAGCGTAGGCAGCAGGAGCTGTATTTTTCTTTTCATAAAGTTTTATTAACTTTTCCACTGAAATTAAGAACAGACATTAAGAACAGTATGTGAATTTTTACGTTGGGTTACAATACAGGAAAATAGGCAAGATTCAGGCTGGCGCAAACCAATGGGACTGATACTCACTCTGCCAATGCTAGGAACCACTTGGCTGCCCTCTTAACCAGGGAGTCACTGGAATCTTGACGACATGCAGCAAAAAACAGCAGGCGCCATCTCCTAGTGCAGTATGTTTGTTGATTGACTGATGAATAAAAGAGTAAAAAGATTCTATTCACTATTCTTAAAGTAAACCAGGCATATCTATAACAGTGTAGTTGTACCCCAACATAGGGGTAGCATGCCCCCACCCATGTTTGGGGTGCACCTACCACTATACAGCGTTCTTGGACCATTGCACTCTATTATTGATATGCCTGGTTTCCTTTACGAATAGTGAGTAGAACCTTTTTACTCTTATTTCATCATTTAGTCAATAGACATATTGCACTAGGAGGTGGCGCTTGCTCTGTGTTTTGTTGCAAATAGTCACAATACAGTATAACAATTTCCGTAATCTAGGAATGTTAGTTTTCTCAAGCAGAGAAATGTGAGAAGGCTGCAGAGTTGAACATCCCAGAATAACCAAAAAGAATAACTTTAAAATATTCCCAAAAAACGGTGCATCGCAAGTGATTTCAGTTGCAGTGAACAGAGTAGACTAGTTTCAGAGATGTAATATGTTCGAACTGTCGTAAGTACGTTAATAAATTCCCTGTTATTCAATGACCCGGCGGCAGGGATTCCTATTGCCCGAAGCTCGGGACATGAAGTTCCAGGCGGGTAGTTGTTTTGTACATTTAGCCCTGCTTTGGGCCAGCATAGCTAAATGTACAGTGCAGCCTGCTCGTCTCTCCTCCCCCAAATCCTCCCCCCCCCCCGCCGGCTAGAGATGCTCTATTCAGGATGGAGTAGGGAGCAGAGTGGAGAACGTTCGTTCTCCGCTTGGCTCCGTGTAAACAGTGAGAGTGGAGAGCTGCAAGCCAGGTTATAACAATTACAATAGGACACAAACTAGCGTCCTCCCGTCACCCTCAGCTCAGTATACCGCGAGCTGTAGCTCGTGGTATACTGAGCTGAGGGTGACGGGAGGACGCTAGTTTGTGTCCTGTATACTGAGACGCCACAGTATGCCGCAGCTGAAGCGGATCCCGACAATTGTCTGGATCCGCCCAGCTGCGTGAGTGACAGCTGGCTCAGCCTATCTAGACTGGCTGGCTGAGTCTGCGTTTTTCAAGTGTAACCAGCTCACGATTCATAATCTGCCTTTTGAAAATCAGATCTAGCTTGTCAGTTTGCAATATCAATTCTGCTATTTAGGGTCTAGGAGCTCTCCTGTATTATGCGATCAGACTCTTTAGGATATGCAGTAACATTTGATTTATTATATCTAGAAGCAAACAGAAGTATATTTTGGAATAAAAGGACGCAGGGGTCCTGTGGAAAGTTTACAGTAGTGATTTTCGGTTTTAGGTCAATATCATTTCTTCCAGTAGGGTTAAATTATTAAGCACTGCCACTAAATATTAGAGCGTGTGTAGGAGTCAGTCCGCATCTTCAGGTACAACAGGCGTTCTGAGTGTCCTACCTAATTTGGCATACTCTGTCTCGATACCAACAAGTCAGGGGTTTGAAATTGCGGAGGCGTTGGTTAATAAAATAATTTTGTATTGTGTTTAGAGGGTGTGAGACAATTGCGGTTCCCAGTGTACCAATTGGTCGTGGAGGGGCCAATTACGTCACGTTTACAAATTGTAAGTGTAGTGGGGGCTGTGGTGAGAGATGGAGCTTCTTCGACATCCACCCGTTGTTTTTGGAATTTCTGATAATTCCATTTTGATGTTTTTTGAGTAAACAGACTTTGCAATGTTTTCTATCATCTAGGAGGCTTATTCCTCCATTAGCTTAGTTTTAGTTAGCGCTTGCCATGAGATTCTGGGCTTTCTCTATGACCAGATAAAATCAATGAATTTTGGAGTTCAGGGATCTGAGAAAGCTTGTGAGCAGTGATATCAGTAACATTTGGAACATAAACAAGATGAGAGGTAATATTCATTTTAATAAATCCAGTACAGCCAGACCTGCAGAATCTGGGTTTGTCCAATCTCAGATCATTTACAATTTAGCTGTAAAGAATCAGTTATGTCTTGTCACAAATGGCGGAGTGAGAGGGGGGTTGTGGCGCCTAAGGGCTACAGGGACGCAGGAAGGCCGGACGATGTGCCGGCTGTCGCTCAAACTCTGAGAACAGCCAGCATGCTGGCAGATCTTTGTGAGGGCCCCCAGAGTGCCTCCCAGTCCACAGATGTGATACATACACACAAATGAACTAATGTAACCTGCAACCATGCACAACTTGCAGGTTTGTGGGAAAACCTTTGCCAGACACTCCCTGTCCACACACTTTGCCCTCAAGCAGACTGACACAGGCTTCGCAGACTGGGCCCAAGGCTGGTGGGGCCCACTGACATGGGAGAAGGTGGAGGAGGCCGGGACTGGGGCCCATCAGCGTCGGTCATGTGGCGAAGGAGGCCGGGCCCCAGTAGCGACGGAGGAAGCACAGCAGCAGGTAAGGAGAACTGCTTGTGGTAAAGGGACCCAAACCAGCCCACCTGAGACCCTGCAGAGAGTCTCTGTGGGCTGTGCAGGATCTATGGTAGGCTGGTCGGGGTCTCAGGGGGGCTCTGTAGGATCTCCTGTCGGCTCTGCGCAGGAGCTCAGGTGGGTTCCGAGTCCAGTGCGTTGCGAAGTCATTTTGCATTAGAGTGTAAGTTTCTCTGTACAAAAACTAACTGGCTGAGTGAGTGTTCTCTGTGCAACACTGTGGTCACTGCCAAGCACCATTACCTCAAAGTTAGTACATCCACCCAGTCTTCTCCATTACTGCTGGCTGCCACTGGAGGGAGACTCCCTCAACTCTAGCTGGCTGTTTATGAGATTTGCATCTGACTGTGTGTGTACAATCTAGTGTACTCTAATACTTGTGTGGCAGCCTAAATGAATCCCCCACATCCCTAACATTCCCCAAGCTATCTTCTGAGCTATAATCTTGACGAGGGCCACTTCTTCCATTGGCCACACACACCTGCACACACCTTGCAACCAAGCTTATAGGCACTGATACAATCAACTATTTACATGGAATAAACACACAACAGTTTCTTCAGATTTGTGTGTTCTTTAGAGCAATCAAATCCAGCTTATTCATTTTACATAAACACACGGCGGCAGTGTAGAGAAAAAGGTAGTTACAAAAATAGAAGTTCCAAAATAAAACATACTGTACATGCAAACAGTATTACAATAAATGAAATAAACTTGCAGAGATAATGACTAATCCTGCTTCCCGGATTGGATGGAAAACCTGGACACACCCCCACATCAGTGGACCCCTTGGAAGTGATATTTTCTTGTTTTCAGATTTCCTTTTTTCTTTACTCTGGAGATCAATACAAGTTGCCACGCACTAAGACCAGCCAATGAGATGGAAGGGGCTTGAGTCTGCATATTATCACTTGGGTCGCAGGTATGATTTTTCTACTAACCATCTTTGAACCCTCATAGCTGCTTCCATTTATGGATTATGGGTCCAAAAGTTTTAGTTATGGTTCCTGCTATTGTTATGCTATACACAGAGTCCAAACTCTAACACTTTATGGCTGACAGAACCAGAAGTATCATAAAGAGACCCAATTATAATAATTTCTTCATATCTTAACCTAAAACTAGCATGTTTAGTGTTAAAACTCTTTGTGCAATTACACTTTTCCCGAAGGTTCTATGATCATATTTTGCACAGGATGGGAGCTATGATATATGACCCTTTTTTTTAGACATTTTGAACATTGAAAAACTAACAAAGGCTAGGTGACACTTTTACATTTCAGTGATAATCAGGCATGGAGATACATTGGGGGGAATTTATCAAAACTGAATGGGCACTGTATCTGCAGTAGGGATGGGCACTGTATCTGCAGTAGGGATGGGCTGTATATTCGAGTCAAATGTGAGTTCAACTCGAACATCGCTAGTTTGTGTGTTCGCCGAACAAACAAACTATGAGGGTGTTAGGCGGTCTGTTTCGACCGCTCAACATCCCAATGTTGGCAATGCACACCTTGTGAAGCCCTAATTGGGTAAAGGCTTGCACCTGACCACTGGTCAGGTGCAAGACTTTGTCCAATCATGGCTCATAGCTA